TTCAGGTCCCTTCACATCCCGCTATGTGACACCACGAAGTGCATTTGCCAGCTTGTGTTAGGCAGCACTGACCTGGAGATGAAAGTACAACTGAGGGGCATAACAAAATGCAAACCAGGAATGGAACGGAATCATTAACATCCTCCTGTGTTTCCTGCTCCCTCCTACATTCCCCCTCTGGCTTTGCAGCTACATTTTCTCATTTACTGTGACGCAGTTCAGGAATGAGACACGCAAACTTATTATCAGATACTGTTCCTAATTTCCTTTACAGTCTGTGGGGAAATCCTTATGCGTGTGTTTGTTTTTTTTTTTTTGCTGTAACTCTTGACTTTTTGGAACATAGAAATACCAGAACGCTGGGGTTGGAGGTAAGACACCTGATGCTACAGCTCACCTGCCAGCTTAAACTTGTCTTGCGTTGCAGGCAGAACTCAGTGTTTCCAGGGAACACAGAGCAGACTTGTCAAGGTCTCACGTAGGTTTTGGCCATGCATCATATGTCCAAAATAAACTTTGGAACCGAAATTAATTTCGAATTAAATAGCTTAGATGTGCAGGTTATACATCTGTGTTGAAGTGCAGAACCGAGAGGGTGAGTGACACCAGACTATTAGACTGAACATTAGGAAAGAATTTTTCACGGAAAGAGTGGTCGGGCATTGGAACAGGCTGCCCAGGGAGGTGGGGGAGTCCCCATCCCTGGCTGTGTTTAAGGGCCGTTTAGATGCAGTGCTGAGGGACATGGTGTAGGGGAGGACTTTGTAGAGTAGGGGAGATGGTTGGACTCGATGATCCCAAGGGTCTCTTCCAACCTGAACGATTCTATGATTCTATGAAAAGGGAAGGCCAAGACAGGGCAACGGCAGCTGCCCAGAACAGAGACTGCTTTTTCACTTGCACCCCTATTGCCAGTCCATTGGTGAGAAACTGAAAATAACACCACTGTGTGATCATGATTATCTTCCACTCTCTGCTCACTTATCTTTGGGGCTGGCTCATCTTCTCTAACCTTACCATCTGGGATGGCAATTTGTTCCCCAGCTGTCCTCATACATTCTCACCTGCTGGGTTTGTCTTCAACCTTCCAAGTGCTTTTGTGGCCAAATAACTCACTGGTCCTGAGCTTGGGGGTGTCAGGGAGGCAGGTGCAGGTCTGTGGTGTTCTTTGGCATCCTACAGAACAAATGGCTGGGAAAAAGCCATTCCTGGAACCCACAGCAGGAGTAGGAGGAGAAAAGAGCCTCCTGCATCCCACAGCTCTGGACTGCTGGGCCTTTAAGTAATGAGACACGTTCCTTAAGGTGTCATTGAATAATGGCTGAGTGACCCAGCAGATTCCAACGTGGACCAGTTTAGCTGAAATATGATTGGAATAGCCAGGACTCCAAAGGCAGACTATAATGCCAGTGATAACTTCATGTCACACATTAAATTAATGGTGACAGAGGCTCCTCAGAGCCCTGGCAAATTGGAAATTGCTTGATGCAGAAGCAGTGCAATGATAACACAGTTAATCTTCCGCGGGGAAATGATAGGAAAAGAAATGGCTTTTAGATTAGCTGTCATTAAGGTGAAACATCTGCCTCTGCAAGTCAAGTGGAATGTCCTCACTTATGCACACGGAAACTCATTAAAGTTATTGGGTTTGCATGGCTGTGAGCCAGAGCCAAATTTCCACCATGATCTCAATCTGGGAAGCACAATGAATTAGACTGAAAGTCAGGAAGATGATTTCTCAGGCAATATGTCAGCATCAAAAATGCATTTGATGGGTTGCTGAAGTTGGCTGATGTGTTTAGATTCTCTTAGTACCTGGGAGCACATAACTAACTGAAAAAGGAAAAATAAACGGGAGTGATATGATTTTAAAGGAAATAAAACCTTTTGAGATCACAAAAGTTCAAAGTTTAGCTCTGTCTGAACTCTGAGGAAACGTTTCCATTTGAAGATTTCATTCCAAACAATTTGCCATCGTTTCTAAGCTGCTCTTTGCTGGTGGGACTGCAGAGCACGAGGTCAGGAAACTTTACCCATGTAACTGTATTTGTGATGCAAATATTCTCACACCTGATTTTCCTTTTATATTCTTGTAAGAAATGTTGAATACTTCATAGAGCCAAGACTGGCAGGCAATAGAAACATTCTCAGTTGTGATTTCAAAGTTTTCTTTCATTATTCCTTTCCTGGTGACAACATGCAATGGGGTAGCCTTTCTGCAGTTATTGCAGCCTGACTGTGGTGTTACTAAGGTTGAGGAACACTTTAAGGGAACAAAGTTCATAGGGAGCAAAGAAATACTCGGTAGTCCCTGTATACAGCTCAGCCTTGAATAAACTACACATATTTAATCTTTCCTTGGAATGAATGTAGTGTCAAGCTGGCTTACAAATAAAGGGGTATCCAGTTCCACTATTTACACAGGTTATCAGGCCATATTCTCTTCTTGATTACATAGTGTTGATTTATATAAATGGAATTCTTCACAGTTACCTAATGCTTACAGCAGCATGGCATAAGTCCTAAAGTGTGTTGCATAAGGGACTTTCAAGAACCAGGTGTTACAATACAGGTCCTTTTCTAAATAATTTCAACCACTGGCTGCACGCACAGAATGAGGGATATGTTTCAAAACGCTTGGAAAGAGCTCCACAGTCTTGATGAATTGCAGCTTAGCATTAAAGAAACATACAGAAATAACTGCTGCAGGTTTCTCTATCCAGGTTCTTCAATCTGGAAGAGGTGGAAACAATATCCTGTTAGAAAATGGCATGTCTGTAATGAAGTAGGTGATTCAGCTCAGCGGTCCCAGATTTTGACATGGGTATGGCAACAGATAAGAATGAGATTTATCAGCCTGGAGGGGAGGGAGATGTTTGTTGATAAATACTGAAAGATTTCTGGTGCATAACTATTGCTGGCTGGGGAGGGAGGCTGGGCTGGAAGGAAAGCAGCCAAAGCCAGCTCCCTGGCGAGAAGAATGCCCTCTCAGCTGATTGCTGTGATATCTTGTTTAACAGAGCAGCGGTCTGGCCAGAGCCAGACTCAAGTGCAGTGATCCTATTAAGGCATGTTAAATGGTCTTCATGGCCTCTCCAGCACTGAATGAAAGCTCATAATTAGCCTGAGTTATAACCACAGCCAGTGATGGTGACTGTCTGTTAAAAAAGCTAGGTGCTCGGAGAGGATTTCTTCCCTGCAGACTGCAGTGTGTTGTTTTTTTTTTTGAAAGATCCCATCTTCTGGCAAAGCACAGCACAATGGAGCGGTGGAGGTACAGGAACATGCAGGAACAGAGGTGCTTTTGGCCACTGGGTGCACAGGCTGGGCAGGAGCTGAAATAGATGGGTCCCGTTTGATCCTGTCTGCTCCCAAGGACTCCGGAAAACGAGTGTCAAAATGGGTTGTGGTGAGTGTGAAATTGTGCTAGGCATGCATAATGCAGCGAGGCTGCTAATCAGACCCCTCTCACTGTGACTAATCAGAAAGATCTATTTGATATTCCAAGAAATTATTTGGAAGAGCAAGCACGTAATGGAGAAATAAAGAACAAATCAGAAGCTTAGGCACAGGCAAAGATAAGGACTTTGATCACAGTATTTTAGTGGGCACAGAAAGAGAACAGAGAAGATAAAAAAAACAAAAATGCTGATGAGAACAGTTAGGATCTGCTGAGGGAAGCAGCCATTAATCTAGACCATGAGGAATAGATAAGAGGTTCTGTGCCTCCCTGGTGCTTAGCTATAGGCACCTGGAAACAAATTCTTCCTCAGCATAACTCTAGTGCAATCTTGCAGGGACGCACGTCATCCCGATTTTTAAAGAAAGTTTCTTTAGAAGCAATAAATGCACTCTACTCAGAGCAGCAAAGAAGAAAATATTTCTTAAAAAAACCAAAATATGTCCACCCCCCTCTAAACTTGCTACAAGGCAGCGCAGGACAGTGGATGGAGGAGACATCCTCCTGGGGAGGATGGGGAGACAGGACAAGTAGATTGTCTTCTCAGTGCTTTCCAGCACTATCAGGTGCCTGAGAAAAGCTGAGTATCCTGTTTTTACATTATGGAAAGACTTGTGGCTTTAAGAAAATCTCAGTTCATTAGAAAATACATAGTAAAATTCAGACAGTTGGCACTGTTCCTCTCAGCAGAGAGGCCTCTAATCCAGTAGGCTTTGTGGGCTGTTTTCTTCTCTTTTTGATTTAAACTCTGATGCTTTCTTTATACAGTTCTTGTACTGATATTATTCCTACCTGTCAGCATGGATAAGTGGGAGGAGAACCAGATTCATAGTCTCTCTGTAATGAAGTTATTTCACTTGAGCACAGCTGAGCATCTGTGTGTCTGCTCCTTGCACGTCTAGATTCCCATGCTTAAATAACATCTTCAGCAATATTAATTGTGGCAAAGGAGACTATAAATTGTCTCAATTGTCTGTACAATGTGAATATATTACATAGACATAGACATCTCAGACTAGACATTAGGAAGCCTGGAAGTGGCTTCCTAGAGGTGGTTGATGCCCCAGTGTTTAAGAGGCAATTGGACAATGCCCTTAATAATATGCTTTAACTTTTGGTCAGTGCCAGTTGCACTAGATGATTGATGCAGGTCCCTTCCATCCAAAACTACTCTATTCTAAAACCCACAGAGGGATCCAGCTACTACAGAGAGAAGCTATCAGCTGACACTGAACCAAACCTGCAACTAAATTGGCAATGCAAACAGTACAGAAATGTGAAGCTGTAAAAAGCTTTATTATTGCAGTCAATCAAAAATCCAAAACAAAAATCAAGGGGGAAAAAAAAATATCCAAAGCCCTAAACAACTGCTGCTCAAAAATTTCAGCGTGAGACACAGAGAAATTCCTATGTCTTGATTACTATTTGAAGAAAAATCAGCAAAGTTATTTCTTTCAGCTTGCAATTGTAGCCAAAAGTTATTTAAGGGTATAATTTCATGCTTGGAAAGAAACAATCCTGTAGCATCTTGATGCCAATTAGGAGCAAAAAGTACTTATCAGTGTCATTAGGACTAAAATCAGAGTAACTTTTCTTGAATTTGAAAGGAAAGATGCCCACTCTTACCTGTGCTCTTAGGGAAGAAAAAAGTAGGATGTGGAGAAGAAAATAAGATGCAAAAGTAGAGATGGTATTACTGCCTGTTGGGTTGATTTCATGGCTGCTGAATGAAGTTTCACTCTGGAATGTTGCCTTTCAGGAAACAATGTAACAAAAAAAGAAAATGTTCCATTTCCCTTTCAACCTAATCAAAGCAGGAGAGCAGTTCTCAGTATTGCTTTAATCTTTTGTTTTCAATAGTAGTTTCTAGTTTTCTCCATGGTTGTATTATCACACTCTAAAAACATTGGGACAAATTCACTCGGAGCAGTCAAAACAAATACACAAGTCTGTTGTTTCGGGCCTCAGCTCATTGTCTGCTTTCTGCACAGCACAGGCAATACTGCCTCCAAATCAAGCTATTGACTCCCAGTGCACAGAGAAAATGCCAAACCATGCAGAAATTGGGTATATTGGCACTATCTCTGCGCTGCCCCCTGAGTCTAGCTGTCCTTACAGGTGGTGACAGCAGGCACAACCCTTCAGAGCATGTGAGATGTTGACTCCCGTGCTGTCCTGCATGGATGACAGAGTGAGAATCACTGCAGAGCAATCACGTTACCACCTTGGCTGTTGCCTCCAACACCGACCTCCTACTTGTACATCGATTGCTTCTCGATTAGTTCAAGTTCCAGTGCTGTCTTTTGTGCACAAATATCCAGGAGTCTGAAAGATGATATTTGGTGGGCTCTTTAGACACCTCTCTGAGAGATTATCTCCAGTATCTGCACTGGCAAACTGAGACATGGGGATCTGGAAGTCCAAGGTGAAGTCTGGAGTACAGCTGTGTGTGGCCCAGATAACAGAGCATTAGTAACGAGGTTGGACGTTTCATCTCTGTTGAGTCTCATCCTTTGTATTATTGTCCTTTTTCTGTTACTATTATCGTCAAATTATCTCTATTTCCTGGGACAGAAAAACAGTTTAGTTGGCATTTGTAGGGCTCCTGCTCACCCCTGTTGGTGCTGATAACTGAAATCCACTAGAGGCTGGCAAGGGCAGCTCTGTCCATTCAGGAGTTAGCCAGCTGAGCAGTGTAATCCATACGGTCCTTCACAAATATAAAGCACATTACAAATGCTCCTTTTGACTCATCTTTCCAACTGGCCCATAAAAACAAGGCTACTTAATTGAACAGTATGCGTTAAAGCTAATCAAATAAATAACAAGGAAATACATGATTATTATTCATAAACTGCAAGCTATTTCAATGTTTTCCTTCACTATGATTGGAACAGATGTGTTAGAATTAGTTGAGTTCAGCCAGACAGAACACTTCCTTCACAAGGAGGAGTTTACATCCACAATCATTTCAAAGAATACTGAACAGTGCAATTTGCCTTTTTCTCATAGATGTCTTGTTTTGTTTCACTACCTGAAACCTTCTAGTCCTAATCTTGCTGTACCATGTTTAGTGCCATCTCCGTTGCATATTTATCCTGTGCTTCTCATCTTTCCCTCATTCTTCCAGCCTCACAAACAAACCAGAAAGCAATCAGACACTGGAAAATCCCCAAACAGTTAAATTAATGTATGCTACAGCTTGACGCCTCGCGCTTAAGTCTTGTTTTCAGCTTTTTAAGTTCAGTATTTTTATCAATCTTAAGACCATAGTCTGTGATTTTCCAGGCCTCTTCGTAACGCTGCATTTCAAAATAATATTGTGCAATCTTATGAAATGTTTTGGTTAAAATTTCCCTGCCAGGGCCGTTCATGATGCTGCACAATGCCAGGGATTCATCTAACTGCAGGGCCTCGATGTACTCCTTCACTGCTGCCTCTTCCTCAGCCACCGACAGCAGCAGATGTCCCTGTGAGCAGTGGTCCTCCACCTGTCTTTTAAGGCTGTTTTGGCTGTGCTTCTGGATCACTTTCTCCATATCTTTTAAAGCTTTGTGGTATTTTTTCAGGTGTGTAAGGCAGGCAGCCCTCTTTCTGAGATATTTTGGATTATCTTTGCTTGCCAAGACAGCTAGGCTGTAATAACCGAGAGCCTTCTCATAGCGATGTTCTTTAATCAGCGCATTTCCTTCTTGGGCTGCTACCTGTGGACAGAAAATTACTTAATATTAGTCATTAGAATTGAAAAAAAGAGTGAAATACCTAGTCTGGACTGGCTACAGGTGGAAATAGATGTGAAGAAATTTTGGATACTTTTTCAAATGTTGAAATTGCATCAACTCAGAGAGCATATAACTGGCATATTTTTTGCATGCAGATATAAAAATCTTGGATCAATGGGCACTTGCTGTTATCTCAAGAGTTCATGAACCACTCTTCTTTTGTTTCTGCAAGTTTTGTTAAAACTTTCTCAGAAGATTTCTTCTGAAGTTGTTTACATGCCTTGGGAATAACATGTGAACTGAAAACTGAATGGACCAAACGCTAAAAGTAGACGGTGTTCCCTTCATGAAACCAAATTTCTGCCATGGTTTTCTCTAACAGGTGACGAGATGGAAGCTGCATCTTCTGGTCAATAGATGGTCAGCCCGAAGTACTGCACCACAAATATTTGCATGTGCTAATAATGAGGGTTGGTCTCTACCCAAGCTATAGGAAAAAATGGCTAGTCATTAATCTCAAGTGCAAGTGAACTATCTGCCCTTATCTGAAGGGGAAAAACAACAAGAAAATAGAGAAAGCAGAAAGAGCCACATAATTTTTAGGTTCATGAAGGTCAATAAAGAAAACTCCATTAGAACTATTTGCCTCAAATGGATTTCTCATTATTTCCCTTTATGGGTAATAAACAAAGCTTTTAACATGCTGCGGCAGAGCGAATATTTAAGTTATAAACAAGGCTGCCCCCAGCAGCTTAGGTCTTACAGAAGGCTGAGCTGAACAAGCTGAGACTTCAAGCAGAGGATACAAGTTTTCATCGGTCTCATTCCATGGGGTATCACAGATTGCCTTTGGATGCTTGTGCCTCCCCAAAATTGGGCTGGCCCAGCTGCTGTCTCTAGAGCCACACTTGACAGTCAGCTCAGGTCTTCCAGTCTCTTTGTGTGCCTCGTCTTTTTATTTTGGTTGATGTAGATTAGAATTGATTGCTGCTTGTCTCTGAGCAGTAAACACCAGAAGACAGACTGAGAAGCATTTGGAAGATGCTTTCAGGACAGTATGGAGCAAGTCTTTCCTTCTTTACCTGCAGACCCCATTAGGGGTCCACCTACTGTGAAGGCATGTGGAATGGCAACTTCTGCCTTGGGCTGGTGGCCGAATTCTGACACAGCCCTTCGAGATTTTGAGACCCTTTGGTAGGAGTCAGCTCTGGATGTCCCATGGCACATCAACAGCCAACAGAGAGTGCAGCTCTGAGGATCTGGGCAAGGAGCAATCGGTCATGATTTAACCTTTGACATAGGAAACTGAGGGGTTGAAGCTGCTCTAGCAGCAAGCAAACTCCCTTCCTCTGACCTTTTGCAGTTTAATAAATTTTTCAGATTGCTATTCCCGTGTGGCTCTCCCAGTTGTTTACAAACTTCTTACCATGGGACCCCTTAGACTATAAATAATGGAAGAATTTTATTGCTTTGTTTTTCATGAAAAAAAATCAGTACATCAAGGAGCTCTCCTTCCTCCACCCTTTCCTATTCAGTGTATGTAGAACTATTTTTAGCTTTTCAGACCAGACTCCAGGGTAATTATGACACATTTCTATAATGCCTGTAATCTCCAAACACTCTAAAACAATGTGGCAGTAATGCTTTTGTTGAGGAGACTGCTGGGAGTGAGGGCTGAGCATAAACCACTAAACTCTTCTTCAGTTTCTTTACTTGTGAAGTGGAGGGAGCAGAAATAACACCCTCCCCTGGAGTGTAGTTAGAGCCATGGCAAAGTAAGGCCATCGTTGGGGTTTTGGGAGCTAATTCTGTCTCTAAGCTTTTCTGCTTTTACTGGGAAATTCCTTTCACACACAAACTGGAATAACCTCACAGGCAAAAGGAAGTACTACTGGAAAATCCTTCGAGACACCAGGCAGGTGAATTAACCAATTCCTCCCCCACCCCAGCAAAGTACACACTTAGCCCCTTGTCACAAAATATATGTAAAAAAAATGTCATGATTCTGGGCTCATCAGTAATAAAAGTAAGCACACTCAGTAAATCTTTGAAGATTAGAGAATATGAAAAGGCTCTCAGATTAGAGAATATGAAAAGGCTCTCAGGTGCTTGAGTCCAAATGTTTATTCAGTTGAACAAAAGCACAAGATTAAAGATTATAAAAAAAAAAGAAATTATTTTACTTCCACCACTGGTATTGAGTTTCAGTCTTGAAATTGATCCAGTCACCCTATTCTCTCAAGTGGCAGAGAAATCTTTCATGATAACTAAGCCACCAGTAAGGAGTTTTATTCCAGACCCTGTTCCACAGCTGCCAAAAAAAAAAAAAAAAAAAAAAAAAAAAAAAAAGGCCCCCTCCTGTTTATTACTTTGCAAAAAAGCTCAATCTCATTAAGGTCATCTACTTATTACACTGGATGGACTTTGCAGAGCTTTAGTAAAAGGCTCCATTGAAGAGATGAACGAGAACCTGCCAGGCTTCATAAGAAATGCTGACCTCAGAAAATTAACCCAGTGTTGCATCGCGTGCAGGTGAGACACTCAACTGCTACAGGATGAACACGTACATCAACACTCTGCGAGGAGCTTTCCCAGCTGAGCAGAAAGCAGCAGGTGCCCCATTAACAAGAAAAAAAAAAAAAAAAAAAAGACAGAAATAAAGCGCCTCTCCTGTTTTAAAGGTTTCACTAATCTGTGGCACCAGCAAGTTCCTAATACATCAGTGCAGAGTGCAGTTTAAGCTGTACAAAAATGAGTTTGGTTTTTTGTTTTCTTTATTGCCAGCACAGGAAAATCTCTCCTGTGATTTCTCAGAAAGCAGCATGGGTGGATTTAGTTGTGAGATGAGCGATGCAGCAGTAAGGGAAATTCAGCTCTAAACTGTGTTTTCGTTTTTAGACACCTCCTTAGGGCCTCCATAGACACATCCTTGATTGTACCTTTATCAACTTGATATAGTGAAAGATTGCAAATTGGCTTTAAAATCCTCAAACTCTTTCCCATAAGACTGAACTTTTTACATTATTCAGAAGAGAGGGGCTCTTTTCTCTGTAATGGGGCATGTCTAGGGACTGGTAAATTAATACTTGTTTACTTATATCCTCCTGCTGTTTTGCTAAAACGCATACAAAGTACTCCTCTCAAGATGCATTAAGTACATCAGCATGTTGTTTGTTTTATAACCTGGGAGAAAGCATAACAATATAGCTTCTCACCAGGGCGCACACAATCTACAAATTGAATAAAAGGAAGCAAACTGATTCTCAGAACATGGAGCTTCTGGGTAATCAGAATTGCAGATGCTTGAGTGAATGTTAAAACTCCCCACCATCAATCTGACCTTATCCTGTCTTATTATTGGAGATGCTTTCTCAGAGATGGATGCACTTTGGAGGTGAAACTTGAAAAAAATACTGAAAAACACATACTTGGGTGGAATAGAGCAATGTGCCATTTTTGTGTCAAACAGTTTTAGCAAAGAAAACCAATACCAACTCAAAGGCCAGTCATTTTGTGAAGATGTGAATATATTTAAATTTCTGAAAGGTACACAAAAGAGCAAAAAGGATTGAAGCACTTAAATGTGACTGAATCAGAACCTTCAGTTTCATTTCACCAAGAAAATGAACAATACATGAACTCCCCTTCCCCAGAAGCCAACTCTGAGCACCACGTAACTCATCCAGACTGCAATACAAGCAATGATCTCGTTAAATCTCCTGAATTTTAGTGTTGGGATTAAGCAGCATCTCATGCTCAGGAGACCAACAAGAAATCCCCCCAAGTGGTAAGAAGCAGTAATGATGAATTATTAGAGACTGAAGCAAGGTCACCGCAATGAAAGAAGTTTGGATTCAACTCCCTGTTCTGGCTAAAGTGAAGGCTGGAGGAAGAAGCCAATTTTTTTCTTGTTCATCTGATAATTGCTCTTCCCACACACTTCTGTTCAAGATAAGGCAGGGGAAATGTCTGCAGCCTAATATTGCTTCCCATTTCTTTCCCCACTGAATCCACAGATGTGCCATCAGAAAAGGACTGTACCTGAGTGAGATGCTGCTGTTGTTTGGTGTCTACGAAGTTCAGGAGAAACCCCAACTCCTTTTCATCTTTCTTAGCCAGGATGCTGAGTGAGTGAGCTGCCCCTGGCACGTTCCTCCTCTTCAGCTGCAGCACAGCGAGTCTTGCACTAGCGAAGTCATCAGCAAGAGAGTGGCCAAATGCTTCCTGAAGATGCTCAAAGGCCTCTTCATACCTTCCTGTTGATTAACACCAGTACAAGCTATGTAACCCATTCCATGGGGAGAAAGAGACATCAAAAGAACTTAATAAAGCAGGACTTAGGTAGCCTGTCCACCTCTAAAGGTAGTAATTACTTCATATTCTTCCCCAAAATATTTGTAAACGTCTCTTGAAACAACAATACAGTTGCCATTTAACATTCACTTTCTTTTAATTTACTGCTCCTTCACTTAGTCTGATCAGCTAAGGAGAACTTACCATTTACAATCAAAACATCTGTGTAGAAGATGTGACATTGGGCCTCCTTGCAAATTTTAATTAGTGCTTTTGCAATCACGAGAAGATCCCTGAGGGTTTCTTCTTTTGCGACGTCTTTAGTAGCAACTAGCTCAGTCAGTGCAGCCCTGCCGTGCTGGAGAAGCCACTGAGTGATCAACCCTTGGGCTTCATGCCTTAAAGACAAGATTGCTGGGATCACTATTCCTGCCTCCACCTTCAGTGCTGAGATCAGATCTTGCACTGCCTCCTATGGGAAAGCAAGACCAAAAAATTAAACCGTAGCAATAACTATGCATTGATAATGTGTTCTCTCAGGTGCTTTCAGTCATCTGCTGTCCCACAAGTCAGCTGCATGCCTTTGGAAGCTCTTGGCTCTTCTCTGTCCTTGTGCTGCATCTTTGCTATTTGCAAAGCTGATATAAGAGCATAAGGACGGGTTCCAATAGCTGTTTGCAAAGTGTTTTGAACTGCTCAGATTATCATTGAAAAAAATTCTTACAGCAACAAGAAACATCAAGGGTCTACTTGTACACCCAGCCATAACAAAAGCCTTCACTGACCAAATGACCAGCAAATCAATATAGTGATTGTACCTTCTGCTGCTTCAGAGCAAGGTAAATGAATCCTCGTCCACTCAGAGCTTGCACATTCCTAGGGTCTTCCTTCAGGATGGCATTAAAGTCAAAAATAGCAGTTTTCTTCTGGCCAAGGCGCCCGTAACATCGAGCCCTGATGAGAAGGCAATCTTCAGCATAACCACCTGGGAGAGAGAAATGCAGCTGTGCTTACTTTTACATAAAGAAAAAAAATAATTCTAACAGGGATTTACAGAAGCAAAGGGAACTTTGATGACAATAGTTGAAGTAGTTGTACGGCTGCAATTTGATTTGTAACTGTAACTGTCCTACCATGACTCAACTCTAACTTTCCAGACAGGAACAGGAACCACCCTGTGCCAGGCACACCAAAAACCCAGGCCTCACTTCAAAGAGTCTTCAGCCTAGTTAAACACACCAAAAGAACATTGTAATAAAAAAATTGAATGGTTGGAAAGGGTAACAGAATGAAAATCATAAAATCACATTGCTCAACTAGCTCAAAAGCTTCCTGGTTTCTAATAAAAACAAATATAACTGTCGATCAACACTGTCTCTCTTCAAACAGCCATGACTGCTTTTCTGATTGCTTCAAGGTCTCCTCTGGAACAGCCAAAGGAAGCAAAAGGAATGGCCTGCAATTAAGTACTCAACCTTCCCATGCAAGCAACTTTTTTTTCTACCTTCTCTGGGATACCTCGACTCAGCCTGCTGACAGTACAGAAACAGAAACATTCCGTGTGTGCCAGTTGCCACGAAACTGCTACTATCAATTTTTTAGGAGGTCTGGAAAGCTTTACCCTTCGTTATTCTGCCCTAAGGTCTTCATGCATTTTCATGGGGACCTCTAAAAGACAGAATTGTGGTGCTGCCCTGGAAAGCACCAAAAGGAAGATGAGGCAATTGCAAAAGGGAATGTCTTCGTATCTCCACATCTACCCCCCCCCATGCCTTTCTCCAGACATCATTAATGCGCAAAAAATGGAGGCAACCTACCAATGACATGACCATCATCTCAGGATCTGAACTGGATCAGGATCCAATTCATTAGAAGGAATCCTTGGAGATTTTAGTATGAAGGAGTAGGAGCAGCACAAATGAAAGAAGCAAACTCTAAGAGGAAGATATGTGAGGATGGGGGCACAAGGCCATTTGGCTGTTCTAATAAAGCGGAGTCAGAAGGTATACATTGTTTTGGATAAAACAGTAATCCAGGTGGGACTGACTAATTTACTGCCACACTTAATATGCGCTGGGATTTGTGATATTAATGTTCTTATTTCTCTGCTTTCAAATAAGCACTGCCCAAATAAACACATACAGTTGACAATGAAAGTCACAGTCCATTCATTCACTGGTTGCAGAGCATATATCTTTCTGCCCCTTTCTTTCAAGGCAATTTTTATAAGGATCTTAATTTGTCCAGGGTTGCAATCAATAACTGTGCCATCCCAGTACTGGATGATAAATGATCAGTGCCACTGTAAATATTTTTTCATAGGGAGGTCAGCAAACACGGAGTCTTGCAGCTGCCTGCTGAGGTGAGCCAGCAGGCAGGCTTCTAGCAATTCTTTTACAATAATGAGGCTTTTTATCTCTCCTGATATGCTCCAAAACTTCTGTACCAAAGATTATTATCGCCATGGAGCTCTATCAATTGGATCCCATAAAGACAATATCTATGTCTTAACAAGCATCTGTTCTAGCAGGTGAGGAGTTGATAAGCTGGAGCACAGAGGCTGTGAAATGGAACCATCTCAATGCAATTAAGTGGTTTTTTTCCCCATTTTCATACACCAATCTCTCTTCTTCTAAATGCTGCTGTCCTAATGTTTGCTCAGAGTGAAAGGCAGGTTGCCATACGAAGATGGTTTTACTTGGAACATACCAGAAGCATTCACACTCTTTCAAGGACTAACTGCTCACAGGGACCCAGTTCCCCTGTCATTTATCATAAGCTTGGCTTTGATCTCTTTATGAAACAATTCTATTGTATTTTCAAATAAGCTCTCATCTCTCAGTTTAATTCACTGGGGAAAGATTTCCAAAAATACAGTCATCCAACCTAGCAGTTGAACAACAGGATCAAAACATCCTGACTTCTCTTGACATCACCAAGCTTCCGGCTTACCTCAGTCACCTGTGTGCAGAGCTACTTACTGAAAAAACAATCTTTATAGAAGGAAAAATAATTCTGTAAGATATCCTTGAGACATTTCCCTGTATTTTGAGCATGTATCTGTTGCTGTGATAAAACAGCCTCCCTACATTAAGTACAGAAGAATGCCCTTGCCTTTCTGCTTTTCCTTCACCAATGGAAGAACAGCATTTCATCACTTATCCTAAAAAGGGTCTTTTAAACCACAGTAAAGAAGGACAGCATGGCACATACAAAAGAAAATAATCTAATGGCTCTGAGAAGATAGCACTGCTAACATTAAAACATGTAGTTTTTTTCAACAGCACAGCTGTACTTGTGAGAAAATCTGTGACCATATGTAGGAAAAAACTTATGGTTTCAGATCAATTTGTCCAGACCAATTACTCAGAAGCAACCTACAAGAACCAAACAGTAATTGCAGTCTGATGTTTGGCAGCAGGTCTGCAAAAGACTGTAAAGTGTAAAGAAGACATATATTGTGTTTCCTGTACACTCTACACATTACATTTCTGGAGCAGGAAAAACAGGGAAATGATTAGATTTGAAGCTTCAAGCCACCAGCTGGAAATAGATGGATTCAGGATGTTAAAGATCTTTTCTAAGTTATGAAGGAATTGTGGGTTCTCTGTGCTGATATGACTCTGTAAGGGTGGCTTTGCCTGAACTTATAGCGTTTGAACAATGCAATTTAAAATAATCCTCAGATGTGCTCCAGGAGGGTTTTATGTGCCAAACAACAGAACAAAATCACACGCTGGGTCTTCTGGACAGGTGAAGAAAAGCGGCTGATGTTCCTGTAGAACTGAACTGAACTGAACTGAACCCTTGCAACCCATTTCAAGGAGTCCACAAGCTACTTATGGGACAGTAAGAACTGCAGCCACTGTCTAATTGCACTATTTCATGGTCCAAGATGAGTTGCTACTTTAAACAATTTTTACCCTGCTTTTCACCTGCCTTTGTAAAATCTACTGTTTCAATCTTCTCATTGGGGAACTGAGAGATGAGAACTGGTGGGACACACTTGCCTCCCCACTGACCTGATTTCCCATAGAAGTAAATCTCCTGTCAGTATCTCGACAACCCTACCTGAAGCGATGATGGCAAAGGAGAGGTAGGCAATGGCCTCTTTGATGTCAGCGTCCTCCTGTCTGTCCTTCAAGATGGTCAGCGCTCTGAAACGGCAGTGAGTTTGCATCAGCTTCCTGTCTTCGTCTTTGAAGATGTCCATGATTGGCAGGAGGCAGGAGGTATCTCCAATTCTGATCATTTTCTTCAGCAGCTTAATAATGTGAGAGAAAAAGGCAGAAGAGAAGGATTGGCATGGAAAGATAAATGAAGTCATGCTAAAGCTGGAAATATTACTGTCTGGTGGGACAAGTATGCCCTTACCCAGTGCCTGATGTACGGTATCTTTGTCTCCATTCCCTATCACTTTCTCTATTTTCATTATAGATACAAATGTCTGAGTGCTAACAGGCAGGTGGGACAAGAACATTTTGAAATTTTCAGTGCCACATATGGCACATATGCTCCACCTAGAACTTGTAGCAGAAGCTGCAGACAGGAATCCAAATTCCAAGGGCAACATAAGAACTCTAATAAATTAATGTCATTCATTAATAGCCTTCCCAAAGGCAGCAAATTACACAAAGTTTATCTTTTTCATAGGGAGTGGTGAAGTGATGACAATAAAAGCTTTGTTTTTATAACTAATAGAAATTACATGGGATTTTAAAAAATGCAATAGTTCCCTCTGATGGCAGAACCTGGTAATTCAGCTTTGTAATCCTCGGTAGGAGAATCAACATGTTGGAATCTCTTTCACGGTTTCAGGCACAAGTCATTAGCCATTAATGACAGAAAGCTGCAGACTGATATTTAAGCTTCTGCTTTTGTTTCTTTCCCCACCCTCCCCTACAATGCTTCATTAGGATAATCAGTTAGGTAGTAGTTCTGCCTACTTTTCTCTAGGGGAAAATTACCAATCCCATCAATATTGTCACTAGGGGCAGGATGCTCTGCCTCATTAAAGTCTCTGATGAAAAGTGCTATTAAATAGCATGTGATGAATGGGCTGGGACTCCTTGTGAGGCCTATGCTACAGCCAGAAAGTCCCTCTTAAGTTCTACCATGTGTCTTCTCTATCAGCCAAAATGTCTGTTGACCCTCTTCACCGTTCCATCACTGGTCATTCTCTCATTTTCTCTGCTAGCCAGGTGCCCCTTACCTGGTTGCCATCATACATGAAACCTTTCTTCAGTTGCAGAAGTGCGAGTCTTGCCAGAATGGGAGACCTTTGTGGATTTCTGGAGAGTGCTAGTGAGAGGAGCTTGTGAGCTTCTTCTACACGGCCCATCTGGTACAGGGCATCAGCACAAAGGATCCGTGATGCTTCATCAGAAGTGTCCAGCTCCACCAAGAGAGAAGCCAGCTGGTAAACCCCAGGGGCATCTCTGGAAAAAAAAAAAAAAAAAAAAAAAAAAAAAAAAGAAAAAGAAAAAGACCACCTTGAAGGAAAAAAAAGACTAATAAGAGCAACTGAGCCTCTTTGTCTCACCTAGAAGCTATGAAGCCGGTTATCAGTCCAGTATCAAAACGGCTGATACATTTTATCATGTCCAGCACCATTTAATTCCACAATCATAATCCTTTTTTATAAAAACATGCTCTTAAGCAGTTGTGTCTCTAAAGAAAGGTTAACAAATCATATTCCCTCTAGTGTTTTGCTCAATCCTAGCTTAGGCCAGTTGGTGTATTATGGACTACCTTCCACAGAAAGATTGAGCTGCTTTGGCTATGTGGATCCTACCACATTCTGACAGACCAGCAAAACAGTATTTTGCTGGAACAGCCACAGCTATGCAGTTTTATTTCACCCCATTATGTTTATTAGGAACATCAAACAGGTCTATATCCTTTTCTCAGTTATCTGAAGCAAGTACCCTCCCTGTTTCTCACGCTACTCTCTTTCTGTTAGGAATCTGCACAGCCCTGGTTCTTTTTCTGCCCTCAAGCTGAACCGTGTCCCAGGTACCTCTTCTTCTGGAGCATCTGCTGTCCTTCTTCTTGGAGAACCTTTAGCAGCAGACCTCTTTGGTTCCACGGCACGTAGGACTTGATTGTGAAGATGGTTTCTTCCAGCTTTAACTGGCAAGCTGTGATATAATCCAGGGCTGTCAAGTAATGGCTGCCACCAGAAATTCGGATAAGTCCTCGCCCACATAAAGCTTTAATACAGCTATTGGGATGGGGGGAATCATGCTCAATCACCTTTTGGAAGTCTTGCAGGGCTTGCTGATGGTCATGAGAGTGGAGGGAGCAGAATCCTCGTAATGCTAAGAGAGTATTGCAGTAAGTTTTCTGCTCTTCTGCCAAGAGGTGGTCACAGATATCCAGGGCAGTTCTGATGTGTCCATGCAGGAGATGGCAGTCTGCGAGCCGAACACTGAGCTCACGTTGCGACCCTGGGGAGATCTGAAGGAGGAACTGGACTGTCTGGATGACAGAAGGGAGCAGTTCGGTACCATGATTGCCTCTGAGTTCAGTCCGAGCACGCACAGCCTCCCTGTACGCTGCAAATTTCACCTCCAGGACAGTTCTAGCCTGTTCTTCAATCCTCTCGGTGTCATGTGGTGAGAAAAGCTCTTCAAAGTGTTTCATTGCCTGGGCAGGGGTTGCTGCAAAGGCTTCTCCTAAATCCTGCATCATTTCCTGCATCCGTCCACCCAAGAAGAAATATGCAGCAGCCCGTTCCAAGAGCAGATCCAAAGCGTTCTCATCTCTGAAACTATTATCAGCTGGAAAGCCCTTGAGGGCCTTGCTACAAACTGCCACACACTCCTCAAATTTGCTTTTTTTAAAGAGGTAAGCTGCCTGTGCCCTGCAAACGCAGATATCATCCGGTGCCACCGCAGACAGGAAGTCATAGCAGTTGCCCAGCCACTGGTCCAGGGAACTGCAGTCTGGGCTTTCTTTCTGATATGGTGAGAGATAATTAGAGAAGGCCTGGATGACCTGTGGCAGGTGCTCCCTTTGCCTGGTACACACATAGGCCACTGCCTCAGCCCGATACATCACAAAGGCCTGGATATAGTCTGCAACTCCCTTCCTAAGTTGTGTTCCTGACAGCACCCATGCCAACGCCCTCAGCAGCAGCAGTTCCATTGAATACTCTGGGTTGGCCTGGAGCAGGGTATTGCATTTACCCACTATCTCCTCTGAGCATCCTCGCCTGAGCAGGGTCTCCAGTTTATATACTGTGGACACCACATTTTCAGGATTTAAAGTGGAGAGAAAGATGGCGGCTATTCCCACACTGAGGGAGACAACAGCCAAGTTCTTGCTCTGGATCTTGGGAATCTGACTCTTGCCTTTGCACCACATCTCCAGGGTGGCTATCACTTTCTCCCAGAGCCCTTTGTCTAAGGAGTTCACTTTCTGTACTGCTGTGGGGGCACTGCAGCTGAAGGCAGCTGTGTAGAAAGCAGTGGCTACTGGTAACTCCTGTTGGGCAAGATGTTGGTCCCCTTCTCTGCAGAGCAGTGCAGCAAGCTCCTGAGGTGACATTTTCTGCACTTTTATCTTCTCCAAGCAGCATCACACACGGAATGTGGTTCCTGCCTGTAAAACAGAAGATCAGCAATGTGAGGGGCTGTGGAGCATAGGTCTTTTTGCTTGGGGGGCAGCTTTCCTACTAACAGCCACAAGCAAGCCTAGGTCCTGTGAAAAGCCAGCATTTTGTCACTGACAGGCTTATAGGGGAGCAAAACCAGGAGAAGAAACACCACGGAGGTTCTCTGTCCACTGCCATGCAATATTGGCTAGAAAGCAGCCACACAACCTTGTCAGTGTTCCCTGCCCCTTTGATGTAGGGTTGCGGGGCCTACTGGGATTTGTCCTCCCTGGCCGAGATGTCAGTTTGATACATTTATAATCATTAGATGGTATGTCAGTGCTGGTGGTGGACACAAAGGAGACAGAACAGCACCTTGATACTTCGCCCACCACTTGCCTTTCCTCCTTTGCCTGGGAGAGGCAGGAAAGGTAGAAGAAAACGTGCACCTTCTCTCTGTTTCCACCTCAGGAGTCAGGGAGATAGATGGGATTTAGGGCTAGGACAGCACCTGAGCTCCGGAGCCTGTCCTCACACACCTGGGGCCTATCCCCTCCCGGTGCGGGCCCCTCCGGAGCACCGGAGATGGCCGGCGGGGCGCGGCTGCGCGGCGGAGAGCACAAATACCTGAGAGCGGGGCTTCAGTGGGGTCTGCCGAGGGCCTGTGAGGGGACCCCTGCGCGGCCTTCTCCCGCCGGGGAACTCCTGAGGCGAGGCGAGCTGAGACGACGCGACGTGAGGCGAGCTGAGGTGAGGCGATGGCAGCCGCGGACGGGACGGGGAGAGGGGGCCGTGCGCCCCGTTGCCTGGAGACCGCAAACACTGGCGGGGAGCGGGCAGCCGCCTCAGGCCTGCGCGGCGGCGAGGGGGCCATGCCGTCCGCCGGTGCTGGGGGCTGCCTCGCCCCGTGGCCCGTTAGGAAACCCGCGGCTCGGACCGTGGTTTCGGTCCAGAGCTCCCGGCCCGGCGCCGTTGGGCCCGGGGGTGCGGGCCCAGCCAGGCCGTCCCGCCGCAGGGGAGATGGCGCTGGGAGGGAGGGAGGGCGGGAAAGGGACCGTTACCTCAGGGAGGGTGAACTGGGCCCCTGCCCCCTCGGCGGGACTAGAGAAAGTGAATTAATTAGTTACCAAAAGTAGCAAACTCCGCGTGTGGCGCAGCCTGTGGTTTTAACCTTATTTTTTTAATAATAAAAAATGCTCTTAGCGGCAAATCGTTTGTGTTTTTGGGAGCGTCTAGAGCCGTGATGTTCCTTTAAGCCAGGGATGTTTCTGAAGTCTAGCCTTCTTCTTATCCATGTTCTTTGACATTCAGAAGAGGAAAAACCCTTTATGATTAATAGAGACTTTTTGCCATTTTATTAAAGAGTTTGCCTATTACTTTGATTTGATTACTTTCACTTTAATTACCCTAATTAGCCATCATGATATAATTTAGCATTGCTGTCACATCAGGCCACAGGTGATATTACCAAGAAGGACTTGAGGGCATGAAAAGGAACGGTTCTGAAATAGAAATCACATTAAAAGGAGCTGGGCTGATCAAACGCCTGTGCCTCTTGGCCCCTCCGCCGAGGTTCAAGCACAGCTTGTGGGAATAAAAACGAGCCTGGTGCCTTCAATGGATTGTGGTCCAGGCTGTGAAAATCATTACCCATAATTTGACTTTGCGGCATGACTGAGTGGTGTGGAAGTTGCTTCCAGCCACGTTTTGCCTTGTAGATACACAGAATGTGGAAGATGCCAGTGTCCTCCATTCATCATTTCTAGCATAAAGAGTCCCAGTTTAGTTAAGAATCTGGTGTGCTCATTGCTATACGTGGATGGTTGAAGGGATGTTGTTACAATCTGTGTGTGGAAAGGTAGCAGCAACATGAAGAAATAATTTCGTTGACTTAAGGTTATATAGTGGGTGGTATGAATATAGCCAATTTAAAGTTGTTCATCAAACTTAAGCTTAGTTTAGGTTCCTAACTTCAGTCCTCAAAGGAATAAGAGGAACAGCATCTACAGGAGTTTTGTGCTGATGGAAAAAGAGAGTATCTCTCTGGTGGAAAGGTCTGTGGCCTGGTGTGATACCTGAGGTGTATGAATAGAGCCCAGTGTGAAAACCTGTTGTTATAAGCGATAGAACCAGCAATGTAACTTAGAGGCCCTGGCTCCTGACATTTTTCTCAAGCCACCAGAAAATTTGCTGTTTTCTCTGTGGGGCAGATATGGCAAGCCCTGTTTCTAGGGCTTAAAAACGTGTGTATGGGGGGGGGGGAAGTGTGGAGATGTTTATCTAACCATTAAATATTAAGTATGCTACACACTGATGAAATATTAAGTATACTACAATAGCTCCTCATGATGTCTTTGATTACTGATAAATTTTTAAAGGGAGGTGGGTGGGCAGGGAGTAAACATAGCAAAAGTGGGGGGCTTTGCAAGGCAGGAGATGTACTAAAACATGTCTGCAGTAATCCTTTTGAAGAGACATGGCTGAGAAATCTTCCACTTTTTTCTTTTAAAGGATCTTGGTGCCTACATTGTGTATAACAAGTGCCTTCCCTTGGGGCTTTTAAATGCTAGGTGTAGCTAGGACTTAGGGTGAGAAACCAGTAATATGTGCATTTGGTACAGAAAACTTGGCTTAAAAAAGAAGAGAATGAACTTTGGTAGGAAGGAGAGTAATGGAGTAGAGCGTTAGTAACTGGCAAAAAATATCTTTGATTTATCTGCCTAACATTCTTCACTCTGAGCTGTGCCTGGGTTGGGGAGCAGACACCAAATTCTGCTCTCGTTGAGGCTGGTGTAGGGAAGGAAGACGGCTTGTGCTAAATTATACAGGCTGGGTGAGTGGCTGCCCACAGGGCTGAAGTCAAGAAGCTCTGGTGATGTACTGAGCCGCGAAGCCACGCGATGGAATTTCATCCCTAGGCGTATTTAGTTCCACACCCACGGTCTGCCAGGAGAGTTAGGCTGCTGGTGACTCTGTTGTCAAACTGAGTGGGGATATTCTTCTCTGGGGAGGACAATGTGCCCCCCTGGCACTGTATCCCTATGACCACAGCTGCTGCCGTTCCTTTGGGTTATAATAGCAGATTTCAAGCAGAGACCTCTATGCTTTGTAATTTACAGATCTACTTCCTAATGTTGTCTGGTAGGAAAGCGTATGGGAGACATTTCTTTTCTGGCTGTTCATGTTCTCAGCCAGCCTTTTACAAGCTGTTTGTTGTATGCTATGATAGACTGCTGTTTGCTCAAACCTTTCTGCACCCCAGATAATCACAGAAGTATAATGTATCCTAGGAAAGCTATAAGATGATTAAATCAGTGTTTGTAAAGAGCTCTGAAACATGTGGGTGAGAGGTGGTGGAGGTCAGGGAAGAAGTGTGAGCCTTGTCATTGTGTGGTCTGACCCAGTTACTCTGGATCTGGTTGAATATTACAGAATTTACCCCTTTGCTCAAGCTTCCCAGTAAGGCCCTGAGGAAGTGATTATCTTAATTTTTCACTTGACTTGACCTGGCTTAAATACAGATGT